ATTGGTGTTATATTGCTTTTAGACTAAAGATAGTAGATCGTGGTTGCATTTGCAAAATATTAGTTATCTATAAAGTATATATTACGTATATTAAATATAAATTAGAAACCTATTAAAAAAAAGTGTCGCAACCTTTTAGTGAGTGAGTGTACATACATACCAGCGAGCTGGTCGAGCTGTTGGCTGTTTCCCTGACGACGGGCTGTCGCCTGTCAAACGAACGCCATTAGATTTTAGAGACGAGCCGTCGTGATGTTCGGACGTGCTGTTCTCTGCTACCGATATTTCTGCTGTATTCGTTGTTTGCTTACATTAAAGAAAGTTTATTTACAAATAAGCGTTCCATTCATTTATTCCGCGTCTTTGCGAATGCGCGTGCGCGAACGAGAGTGCGCGAACGTAAGAGTGCCCGGGCGTAACAATATATATCGGTTTCTGAGCGTAAATTGCTTAAACAAGCAAAATTTTATTCGATTTCCGTATTGTTAACAAATTAATTTAAAAAAATATAATGCTATTATATAAATATGACTATTATTGTAGCATTAGATGTAATTCTTCTCATTCTTTGCAAAAATTGAATTATTTCATCATTATTAATTTTTATTTTCGAAAAGAATTTATTTCGCAAAATAAAGAAAAAAATAGGCAAAATAAACGTATGTAATTAAAACTCACAAAAAAATCGAAACATTGTAAAAAAAGATCTAGGAAATTAAATGCAACACTTTAATCAACGAAACATATCTTTCTCTTTACTTCTCTCTTCTCATCACTTTGTAAAGGCTGAAAAAGAACTTAAAGAAAAAGAATAAGAGATATTAAATCCACTTTTTTAATTACATAATATAATTTTTCTGTTCTCTGCATTCATTGTTATTTCTTAACATGTAATAAATATGTAAATAAATTTTATGGAAATAATTTAGAGAAAGGAATTTTTGAGAACAATCTGTTGCAAAGAGCAGACAACCATGGATCCATTGTCTCGAATGTTAATGGCAATATCGCTCGATATAACGGTGGCCAAAATTCATTTACAAAAGTTACGGCAACATTATCTAAAAATAAAAATTTGCATAAATTACGAATAATTCCTTTTTTATAAATATTCCAAACAAACTTCTATCAAAATGACAAGGTTTAACAATCAAATGGTAAATTTGGAGGATGGCAAAAATGGTCCTTTACGTTGCAGGTCGAAATCGATATCAATCAATAAAATTTGATAAGTAAATCAAAGTTGTCAATGGGCATAATATATTATCAGATGCGTCAAGAGTTACAGGTCTATAGATCATGAAAGGTCAAAATATAGAATAATGATAGAAATGTTGTAATAGAAATAGGAGATATAAATACGTACTGTCGTATTCTAACATCTAATAATGAAAGTAGAAAATCTATATATAAAAAGTAAAAATGAAAACAAAAATTATAAATAAATAAAATATAAATCAAACCTAATCTTTATCGTAACTTTTAAATTTGCAACCACGCAAAGGTTGCACAGCGTTTTTGCGGGCATTTGAATCTCGAGTTACCTTATAATGTCTGCTATAACCGAAAAACCAGACAATTGTCATATATATATAATGTGTACACAATAACCTTATACAATTTTCTTGTCATTTCTACATTAGCAATAATATCCGACTATTGCCTCGACATCGGCTTTTTTATCTACTAAAGTATAAATAAAATATTTAGTCTTTAAAATAAAATATTCAGTTTTTTTATTTTTTATATATTTTTAAGTTCTTAATACCAGCTATTCTGTATTCAAAAATAGGATGTTTCATAAAAAAAATTGATTTGACCTTGATCTAATTTTGGCGACGCCAAGGTCAAAATGATACAATCAATAAATAGAGCTTTTTAAATCTTACAACTTTTGTCTGAAATATTTTTCTCAAAAGTGCTTTGTTTTCGAGATATTCGATCATTTCCGGACCTGAAAACCTTCTATAACTGTATAATTCTTAACAAACGCATCTAACATTGTGTTGTGTCCATTGATAACATTGATCTACTTATTAAGATCAATTGATATCGATTTCAGCCTGCAATGCGAATGGCCGCATCTCGTTATGTTTTTAACATTCTCCTTATTTATCGTTTTCTCAGATAATTTAATATCTATTAGATAAAGAAGTAAAGAACAATAGACTTTTATCTGAATTAGTTTAATACTTACTAAGCTCTTTGTTGCCATGGAAAAATTCAAAATACACTTCAAATTTTTTAACTGATGGAACCATACGGACATGTTCCACAATCATTGTGTCATTTACTATATGCCCAGTTAGACTCCATGTTGTTACGACTTCATCAGCAGTTATATTAAAGGGACCTATTACATAAATTATGATGAAATTATATAAACATATTTAATATTATTTTTGAACAAAATAACATAGTCTTTAAAACAATTTTTATTATTTTTAAAATAATCAAATAATAAAACAATATAATATTTGACAGTACTTAAATTGTATAGAGACATATTTTAAATTATACAGAGATAGTTATTTAAATGTATAATATACAAATATTTTTTTATTTATGTTTATATGTTTATTCCATTTAATTTTCAAAAAGCAGATTACAGTAATCTTTAAAGAAAGAATTACTTTAATCTGCTTTTTGAAAATTAAATGCAACATAATCGACATATCGAATATGATTGATTTTGAACGTAAATAAGAATGCATTTAACAAAATAAATGTATCTTTGCTCAAGCACAAGCTATATATAGAACTTATTTATTATACCTTCATCATCAATCCTGAGTATACCTAAAGTACCATTCACTTTTATGGTACCTTTTACAAATATTCTCGGGATTACTACGTCGACTTCTAAACGGAAAACGTCGTCAAGAAAATGCGCTCTGACATCATTAAAATGAGTCTTTTTGAAACCATTAACAGTAACATTTTTTACAGTAACTTCTGCATAAATGATGTCTGTATTAAATACAGCTCTCTCGTATTCGTAAAGCATTGGATCCAAAGGTGGAAAGTCAAATTCTGGAAGTCCTATCAACATTAATAAGCCAATATTCACATTTTAAAGCGTAACTTGATTAAAATTTTACTTGTTTTTCTTTACTTGCTTTTAAATAAAATCCAAACAATTTATAAATATATGGAAGTTTATATATTTATTGTAACATTTGTAATTATTAACAGTACTGTAATATGTGAGTGTAAAATAACGCACATATTAATTTAAACAATATACGTAATATAAATTAATATAAATATTACGATTAACAAAAACTTATAAATTTTTGAAGAAAACGGTACCTTTTTCAACGAGTTGTGGCCATACATCTTCTAAAGCGTGTTTTAAACAGGCAAAATAATTAACTGAACCTCGCTTGCAAGTCACTACTGATTACAAATAACAATAAAATCAAATTAATTAATAATGAAATTATAAAATTGCATAAATATTGTTTTATCATATAATTAAAAAAATAAATCAAAATAAAATTTAAAATCTATGTTTGTATAAGTTATTATTAAATACCAATATCATTGTATCTATTATGTTTATATTGCAAAGATTGTGTTATAACTTATAAGATTG